TACCCGTCTGCATCTTCGGGGCCGAAGGGATCGGAGTGCCAGCCGCGGCCAGGAGTGAGAATCACGCGTTTTCCGAGCCAGGATTTCGAGGCGGCGGAACCGATCTGGGAAACGTAGCCGCAGGCATCGGCGCAGAGAGGGGTGGTGAAAGAGGGGGAGGGGTAGAGATGTTGACGGAGGAAAAGGTCTCGATGGTTGAGAGCCACGGTGTGGATTTGGATTAGGAGAGAGGTAGGGGATAGGGAAGGGGTGGCATGTTGGGTTACTTCGAGACTGGGGCGTTGTTAGAAGTGGATTGAATGGATTTAGGCAGCAATTGTGAGATGAGGTGGTGTGAGAAAGAGAATGAAGGGAAAACATACGGATAGTAAACCTTCCCCGGTTTCCCACCCTCGATCTTCTGCATTGTTAGCGCTCTTGGCATGATGGCTTTTATTCCCTGAAGACCGTTATCTCTAGGCTTGTCGTCCCGTATTACAGTCAATATGAAACAGAATGTCCAAGATACAATCTACACTCAATTGAAGATTCAAATATGCAGAGTAAAACAACAAGGTTATCCGCACCCAAGCATGAAGAAAGATAGATTGATAAGCCACCGCTCACCATATCCCCACTCAGTAAGCTAAAAACCCAAACACCCCCACGTTTCCCGCATTTCCCGCAATTAGCCTCTGTGAGAACCCCGGCCCGCGAAAATGGAAGACAGGGGTGATTATGTCACTCGGTAAGACCTCCATTTAGCCGTGCCGTGCTCTATTCACATGAAACTTTCGGATTCTATCTTGATATTCGACCAGATGTCGTACAGTATCTAATCAGCTATCAGAGGGAGACAGGGGAAGAGTGTTCTTTAAAACCATCTCGTTTGGACATACTGAAAGAAACCACTTTTATGGGGACGACGTGCACTATCAGCGCGTACTAGAGCAGTATTGCAGCATACTCCGTAAGCATGCTCGAGACATGCTGCATGGAACAAGCTGAATTAATGCGAGATTATCGTCTCATATCTCCACAACATATGAGTTTTTCATGCACATTCGACAACTGAATAACCGTGATCAGATCCCTGAACTTTTTGAGTTTTTCGTATCGGAACAATTCTACTCGGACTTCGTACGTTTTTGTTACCAAGACCACAAGGTCCCCAACCAAGAAACTCCAAGAAATTCAATTCTAATCCTCAGCCACCCATTATTTTCTTCTCTTTCCACCACCACCACCATCTGTATCTGCTCTCCTCTTTTTTCCCTCTTTCCTCCAGTACTCCTGCTTTTCCTTCTTCTCCCTCTCCCCCCTCTTCTCCTCATTCTCCGCCACCTTCTTCCGATACACTTCTCTCCTTTTCTCATTTGCAACCTTTCTCTTTGCCACCTTATCATTTCTAAGTGTCATTAATTTTTGCATCAAATCTCTGGCTTTCTTTTCTTCTCCTCCTACTACCACTGCTCTCTTTTGCATATATGTTGGTTTACTCTGTTTCTTCATTTGAACAATTTGACTCTTATATGGAAGTTCTGCAGCCAATGCACGAGGAACTCGTAAAGGATTGAAATGCCGAGCTACTCTTTCCACAGGTTTGTAGTGACTATTCTTTTGGTCTGGTGTAGGTAGATTCTGATCTCTTCGGACTTCACCGGTCAATCGCATGCCTTCCCATCCAATGAGATTAGTGACCGGATTGTAAAATCTGTGAGGCTTGATCGGATACCAAGCCCGTAAGAAAACAATGTCACTCATGAGAATTTTATCTTCAAAGGTGGCACGGAAGTAACCTTCTGGCTTGGCCAATGCACGTTTGATTTGACCTCTGATACCAGAAACTGTCTTGATCGAGGCTCCTTCGAACTTGGCGATCTCCAATGACGTGTTGAACATATCCTTGATGAAAGCCGTATTTTTATAGATCTTGTAAGGAGTACCAGTAAGCTTGAGCTTCTTTACTGTTTCTGAAGATTCATCGACTGTCATAACAGTTCCAGTGGCAGCGATTCGGAAACCAGGGTTTTTGTTAGAAAATGATTGGTAACACGAGAATCCAGTATTGGGCGCAATGAATGGACCATAAAATGTACCAAAACAATGCATATGTTCTGGAGTATACTTAAGCATACGATTTCTTGTTCGATTATCCGAAGTACTGTAGATTGGGAGAGTTTGGAATCTCCTCCATCCTAAGGAGATAATAAGAGGGTCGTTTGTTTTGAGAATCTTCTTGTGCCATCTGTGTCTCTTGATCTTGACTTGTACAAAACCAAATCGATCTTCGGTTGGGGTCAAGCCTCCCACAATGATTGGCATTCTTGGATTAAATCGAGTAACAAATTCAGATGGTACTCCTTCGATAACAATTTTGCCGTACATTCCGGCGCGATAACCCTCAACTTGAATTCTTTGACTTTCGTCAAGATTCTCGAATTCGGATTTATTGATATCGAGTTGTTTTTGAATTTGTGCTTTCTGTGCATCATACCATTCATCCTCACCAAATTCATCATCTCCACCAGCTTCTCGTCTAGCATTAGCTTTATCGTTGTTGAATCCATCTCTGTCTTCTTCTTCGAATCGTAGTTTAAGTTCTTCTTTTCTTCTAGCGTTTTTCTCTCTCTCGGCGTCAATGTCCACTGGTTCGTCAGCTTTGTGTTCTTCACCGGTTTCCAGATCCTTGAACTCTCCATCACCCTCATCATCTTCGTCTTCCTCATCATGCTCATCATCATCACTACCACTACCATTACCCTTGCCCTTGCCCTTCAATAAATCTGCCGTCGCAAAACGTTGTCGAAGTTCTTCGATATTATCCTCTACAGACCACTTTGACTCCAATTTCTCATAATCAAGTAATGGAATTGCTCGGTCATCCATGATTGCATCTTCATCCTCTCTACCAGTCTTCTTGAAGAATTCGTCTTCATCTTCTTCCTGTTCAATATCTTCTTCTTCCTCTTCAATCTCCCCTCTCCATCTTTTGAGCACCTCTGTAGGAGTAAGCGACTCATCGTACATAAGTTTGGCCAAATCTGCAGTTCGGTAAGATTTTCGTTGTCCATGAAGTTTGCGTGCAGTCTCCAACATATTTTCTTTCCAGCGAGCTGCCCCATCTTCATCATCCAAATCTGAATCATCTTCATCCAATTCATCACCAGAAATTGAGCCAAGATCAGAATCACTGTCGGCAAATTCAATGTCGCCACCTGCCTCATCTTTATCTTTCTTGAATGCTTTTCCTAATTTGTCTTCGGTAATTTCTGCTTCATCACCAGAATCGAATTCTTCGTCGCTGGCAACTCCATCAAGGTCCTCATTATCCGAAGCTTGATCTCCTCCTTCGACAAATCTTGCGCGTCTTTGATGTTTTCGTCCAGAATCTTCTTCCTCGGGAACCGACTTGATAGTTTCACCACTGCTGAATAATCTGACACCCTCCTCAGTCTCACCAAGAAGCCTTCTTTCTCCTTGTAAACCAACAATCAATTCTTCACCCTCTCCGCGCTCGTCATCCTCGGCGTCTGCGTCGAAATTAAAACCCTTCTCACGAGTGATCCAAATAGTGTCTCCATCAATTTTCAATCCGCTCTTGTCAGACATTGGCGCATGGAGTTTCTTTTCCTTCTCATCCAAACGTCTTCTACCAGTCTTCCCAGATGCTTTTGCAATCGCTGCATCCATGAATGGTGTAGGGCAAGGATCTGGTAGTGATTCCATAGCAGACACTGAATAATCTCCCAAGCCTGGTATGTGAACCCTTTGACCTTGCGCCGCGAAATTTGTTCCTCGTAGATAACCCGACAAGACAACCGTTCGATCGCACTTCTCATCTTCCTCAATTTTGGTAGGATGGGTGATATCCCTGAAACTATCGATAATGGTATAAGGATGTGTATTGCGCCAAATCAAAGGTCTTGGGTTCTTCATAACAGAGATAAATCTCGACAAGTTATGAATTTCTCGATCCGGATAACGTCCATTGATAACTCCAGACAGATAGAATAGATGTGCACCCTGGTATAATTCGCTCCAAAATCGATTCTTGAGTCGTTTCTTCGCATCCTTCAAAGTTTGTGGTTTCTTGAAAAGATCTAGATGTGTTAGAATTCCAAAAACATTACCCGGCATACCACTCGAAGATAAAATGTTCAGGAATTCCATAGTCTCCATCTCGAAACCAAAATTTCCGTCAATCATTAGCAATACAATATCTGCCACCTTGGATATATCCACCATAGCTTCGAGTTCGTTTGGACATTCTACAAAAGTAAGTCTTTGACGCTTCGAAGTGACCACTGTAATTGGTCCTTGCGGATCTGATAATGTCTCTTTCGCATATCGTTTGACTAAAGATTTGAGAAGAGTCGTTTTTCCAACACCTGGTGGTCCAACAATTGTAACAAGTCGTGGCGGCGGTTCTTCTGGCAATCGATCAATTTGAGGAACATGAAGACGCCTTTCTTTGATCTGCAAAAATTAACAACCTGGCGCATAAAGCTGTGGATGATTGTACATACATCATGCGATCTGGCAGCACTTTTTGCCAATCTTCCTGGGTTTGCGAAACTGAACGCTTTTGGATTGCGCTCTAGTAAACATATTAGCACATAGAAATCACCAATTGGAAGGGGATTACTAACCTCCAGTCTGCTTTTTCTTCTCCTTAGGAGCCCGGTGAGGCCGGTTCTTTTGTTCTTCCATACTTAATTGATTGAAGTAGTTGGAAAAGCTACTTTAATCCGCCGACGACATTGAAATCTTCACCAGATTCGAAATATTTTTTCTACCTAGCATCGGAAAAATTAGCACCGATCATGGACGCTAGGCCCACTACAGCTAGCCTCTCCATAGAATCCATCCTTATCCCTTATCAGATCACAAGGATTATAATAATGGAAGAATCTGGATTTGTTAAAAGTTAATCTATGGACTAGCAACGGCTAGCAACTGCTAGCCGGACACATGGAAGCATCATTGAACCGTAATAGAACCTTGATAAGACGACGACTTGCTTTCGCAATTTTGTTATGGGTATGAGGTACTGCACATTTTATATTCATCTACACTTCTAAGTTATCTGTTCTTCTCTAATCACGCAATCTTCCCACCACCTTCTATATTATTGTAATTCAAGTTTCCGCCCCTGATCAAAGACCAAGCTTTCGTCTTCTATACCTTTTCCTTCCACAAACCCCAGACTAGGGTTAATGCAATTTTACACCCGCCAGCGACCCAGAGCATAGGACTAACACTCTTCGTAACCTTGCTAACCCACCCTCCAACAATCGCACCTACCATGGTCAATACAAAAGCTATCGCTCTTCGATTTCTCTTTGGGTTTTTCGTTAGGGGAGTAAAGAGAAGAGGATCGGATAGTAAATCGCAGAGAAGCGATGTAATGACAATAGTAGGAACTTCTCCCACGCCTAGGAAGCGAGAAGAGACGATTTGACCCGCCGCTTCTGTAAAATTGTTAGAATGATATTGACGTGGATGTGAGCTGGAGTAGAAGATTCTAGATGTAAATTAAAGTAATAGAAAGTGAGAGTAGTTGTGAGACCATCGTAATTGCGACGAATCAACAGAGCAGGAATCGAATAGAGACCCACGTACGAAAACTTAACAACGCAATTGGACCAACCTGGTCCCAATGAGTTCCCAAATCAGCCGGTACATTGCCTTCAATGACAAACCCCTGAACTAGACTGGCTGATAGCAAGATGCAACAACTCTGGATTAAAAACGAAGCAATAAGGGTACTCCGCTGAAGGGGGCCACAGAAGCGATGGCATCGTGAGAAGGTAAAGGAGCCAATACAAAAGAATCCGATGGAAATGAGCGATCTTGCCCAACCGAAAGGTCGATTGTTCTGATCCGAGGCACCGAGAGCTACGAAGATCGTATTACCTGTACCATATTGACAGATTAGAACGCGTCCAAAAGAGAGAGACGTATAAATGGCGTGATGTGTGGAGATCCTTGGTCATTACTTACCAGTTTGCATAGACACGAAGGTCTTGAAAGCTATGATTGATCGTCAGTCATTGTCTCTATCTTCTAATCGTTTACATGTCTACCATACCATTATACAATGTGCTGTCTAGAAATCCCGTGATGAGACAACAAATCAACATCAAAATGTCTGCATGATCCGTGCTTACTTCTTGTGCGAAGTGTTTTTTCATTTTCGCATGAAAGGATTTCTCAGTAGGATCACTGGGTCTCGTGATGTCCATGCTGTTGTGGTGTGGCAATGCCTCTTCAAGCTCTTTCGACATCTTGATCTTCTTCTAGTCTGATTCGGTGAGATTTGTTCCGAGATCTCTTTCAAGTTTGAGAAACTTGAAATTGGGCGTCCGAGGGAGGGAGCGTAATAAAGCGGGCAGGAAATTGAGCTCCTTGGATTCATGGATTCATGAGCAGATAAGCGCCAAACCCCCTCTTTATGAAATGCGCATCAGCAGCGTTTTAATTGACGAGAGCAACCAAGGAGGTCTGATGGAACAATTTTCAAGGGAAAAGCTCCCGCGCGGGCGAATTTCATTAATTTAAGTTATCGAGGTAACATCGTTTCTTGCCAAGCCGGAATATCCTCAATTCGTCTCCGCTACCCGAGAGTGAGGAGGAGGTGGGAATTATTTCTACATATCGTAGATTGCGGGGCCACAACGCTTTCGCCACTACGCCAATTATTTCCAAGATGAGTGAATTAATATGGGTGTCTTGAGAAAGACTCGATATGACATTCGCAACATTATCACCTAAACCTTATCTCCTAAATCTCCCTAATGCATAGAACTCGGGTCAGTCCGTTATCTTAATCTTGCCTTGGCACTCTGCGTGCTCCATAGTCGCTAATACCCGTTGAAAAGCTGTGGAGAACTATGCGAACCCCTTTCCGTAGATGTGCCCAAACCTAAAGACTTTACTCTCAATTTTTACCTGCTGAACCATCGTGTAACAACAACTATACACACCGCTTTGCTTGAACTCAGCACATCGTTTTTTTGTCAATAATGATAAATTTTTCCAACAGCATCACAGGCTGATTTATTGACGATTTCTTGTACAAAAGGGTGGAATACATGTTGTGGATATCTTGGCTTGGCCAGCTTGGCTCTTGGAGCGTTTCTTCAACAAAATTGAAAAGGGCCTTTTTAGCGCTGTAACCATATAAGCAAAAAGTGCAGCTGAAGGCTGAAAATTTGATACTAAAGGACAATTGTCACACCGAGCGGACCTATCAAAATCCTTGTGATCCAGGCCGAGACCTCGAAATACGAGTGGATGTTATGGATATCTTGACTTATAAGGCATAAGAAAGAACTCTATTGAGTGGAGCTGATATTGTAATCTCTTCGTAAGCTCATGCAACTGTAGAGGATGTACTGAATGACTTTGAAGTTTCAAACAATGAGAATAAGCTTGAGGGCAATTATCGCCAAGGGCTGGGTACTGAGGAATTATCCGGCTTTAAATTTTCCTGTAGCCCTTGGTATTACTTTGTAGGGAAGATGAATTTTAATTCTGACAATGCTTGCATCACTTGGTATTGATTTGAAGAATAACGGGCCTTCAAGATACTGGAGCTTGATCCTTCATGTGTGTCTTGGTATTTCTTTGTATGGCAGGGAATTTGATTCATGCTCTTGCTGCAGCTCTTAGGTTTTGGTGTAATCTAGAAATTTGCCTGCATCTGATGCCGATTCTTCATGTATCTCTCGGTATCACTTCGACGGTAGTAATGTACCCGCCGGCACTCACATCAGATTGGTGATAGCCAATCTAATCTATGATATGTGATAAGGACGTGACATTGCGGGATTTTCTGCATCTACATCCTCGTGGATGTAGAATACGACTCAAAATACAGTACCAAGACGTTACATTCTCATCTTCCTTCTGCGAGGTGATCCATTAGGTATCGATCAGTGAAGTCGAGATTCATTTCTTGGACGCATCTCGTCTTCGCTGGCGCTGAATGGACGGAAAAAATAATGTTCAGGCAAATGCGAAGAGGCAAAGAAGATAGATACAGAAGACCGAGACCGAGGAGATGTCGTCGGAGAGATCTATAAAAACCCCCTTCAGTCCCCGCTTGGAGTCACCTCGATCATCAAGCACACCAATAGCACAGTGATATCTGCCATACAATTATCAACAAGATTACTACTTACTCTATATTACACTTGAAATCATTATGGCTCCCATCATGGAATCACTCCCAATCCTCCAAGAGAAGTCTATGGCGACTGTAACTGAGTATTCGGTATGCAACCTCCATCAAAGCAGTTACTCAAAGAGTCAAAGCTAATGATGATTGTCTAGATTCCAAGTTCGCCCGATGGTGCTGTTACACCTTACGATGGTAAAACTCATGTTTTCAACATTGATATGCCCGCCTACTCAGACAAAGTCATGTTGACATTCAACAATGCGGTCAAGCAAACCACAGGGTTTGAAAGCGGTGCAACAAAGTTAAAGAATATGCTCAGGGACTCCAATGAGTTGATCGTTTGCCCTGGTGTTTATGATGGTATCTCGGCACGAGTTGCCCTGCAAGTCGGCTTCCCAGCCCTTTACATGGTACGTTTAAAGTTCCATGGCAGCACTAGCTACCCGTGGGGAAACACGTTGCTAATCTTCGGGTTCAGACAGGAGCAGGTACCACTGCCTCCCGCTTGGGCATGGCAGATCTTGGCATAGCCCAACTGGCTGATATGAAGGAACATGCCGAGATGATTGCAAACCTTGATCCTTATGGCCCACCTTTGATTGCCGACATGGACACAGGTTACGGTGGTAAGTGAAACTGTCCACAAGATCCTTTACAAACAAATAGCTGACCCTTTCGCCAATATGCAGGCCCTCTCATCATTGACAAAGCCGTTAAATCGTATATCAGAGCCGGTGTTGCTGGATTCCACATTGAGGACCAAATCCAAAACAAGCGTTGTGGACATCTCCAAGGCAAAAAGGTTGTTCCAGCAGAAGAGTTCTACATGAGAATTCGTGCAGCCAAAGCCGCCAAAGAGGCCATGAACTCAGATATTGTGTTGATCGCACGCACAGATGCACTACAACAACTTGGCTACGACGAGTGCGTCAAGAGATTGAAGGTCGCTCGGGATATGGGTGCTGATGTTGGTTTACTCGAGGGTTACACTTCGAAGGAGATGGCTGCAAAGACTGTAAAAGAGTTTGCCCCATGGCCAATACTCTTGAACATGGTTGAGAACGGCAGCACCCCAATCATCACCACCAAGGAAGCACAAGAGATGGGATTCCGTATCATGATCTTCTCTTTTGCTGCTCTCGCTCCAGCATATCTGGCAATCCAAGAGACTTTCTTGCGATTGAAGAGGGACGGTGTTGTAGGAACTCCAAAGAACCTGACGCCCAAGGCTTTGTTCGATGTTTGTGGTCTGAAAGATAGTATTGTGGTTGATACTGCGGCTGGTGGTGGGGCTTTCGCGGATGGTGTTTGAGTAGATGTAGTATCTTGTCCATATTCCCTAGTTTGTTTAGTTTCCTTATGTTCTACTCTAGTACCTGGTCGGTACTAGATATGGTGCAAGTATATTATAGGGGTTTCGTCAAATCGTCAAAGTAGATTTTGTTATACACACAATACATCTTACTATTTCTTCTTCTTCATGGATGATATTCTGGACAGCGAATGTGTTTATAATGTGCACGTATGCCATTCAATTGAACCGTTATCATCAAAGTACCCGTGGACCTTCTTGGACAGGAAGGTGTCAAAGTGTGGCGTTTGTGGCACTGATCGAGAGGTGTGTGGCACCGCGATAAGGTTAGGTACCTAGGTACTATAAATAACTCCACTCCACCATCTTGACCCAGATGGGAGGAGGGCTGCGAGTAGATAGCTTACCATCTTGCTGGTATGTATGGGGAAGGGGAAGCTGGTCTTCGGATACCATATTGACTTACCCAATCCAGAACACGCTAAACCCTTTTAAACTCCATCTTTCCTCTTATTTTCTACTCTGTACTCAGGTAAGCAGAAATGTCCAATGCTCTATCCACCTTAGAACTAACGATCCTGCCCATCCACCCCTCCTGAGATATCCTCGTCTCTATTCTCCTGCCTTGTCGAAAAAGCGACGATTAGATTGAGAAATGGATCCCACTTAGTCGTACCTACATCCAGATCTCATTCCAGGATAAGAAACGTGTGTTTTGGATTTGATGAGTTTAGACGGTAGCGGGCTATTGGCTGCTATTGGACCAGCTTTACAGCTGAAGATATGCAGTGGCACCTGATGAAGAATCTCATGCAAGTAACACAAAAAGGGTAAAATCTGGGTAAAATGTACGGAGACTTCATCTCCCCCTATGACCAATCGAGCCGGTCTACTCAATTCTCTGCAGACTGGTATGCCTCATGATAACCTTGTGGGCCGGTCTCGAAAGCTTATCCCCTCCATGATCACAGACGTGTCAACCCAAGAGATGACGTATGAGTAGGCCATTATGAATCGCGATAGAGGTCCCCTCCATCTGCTTGGTAACATGTAACCCATCCCACCTGAATCCTTTCTGCTCAAAATCTATATAAGACTTCATCTCTACCTTCGTATTTTCATCCTTTCCTACTTATAAAATATATATCGACCTACCTAGTAGCTAGCCTTCATAATCTGGATCATTCACTACACCTTCAGACATACGCCACTTCACTAAACCCCTCACAAGCCAAACCATCACCATGTCTTCCTATATTGTACGAACGCCACGTCCATTCCTGTCATATGTGGACATACAACTGACTCACTATACCTAGGTCGGAGTCAAGAAAGACCTTTCAGAGGAACAATATGCTGCGTACGAACGAAAAGTATCTCCAGCGACGGCATAGCAAATTACTTACAAATATTGTAGAGCCAGAAAGGCCATCGAAGAGCAAGGATGCGAGGTCAAGAGCGAATTCAACCGCACCGGTGTCTCGCCAGGTTTTGTGTAATACATTACAGTTTCTTACTTGTGTATTTTCTTTCTGACATCTATGTAGTGTCGTGATGCCGAAAGACACCGTCACAGCCTTAGAAGCGCACGACCATGTAGTATTTGTGGAAGCAGATAGCGAGGTAAAAACCCAATAGGGATAGACGTCAAATGAAGAAATACGACTATGGTCGAGGTGGAATGGGAGTTTATGGAAGCATCATGTATTTATCTAGTAGTAGAAAATCAACTGAAGTGGGAACATTCATACCCTTCTCCTCCAAGAATTTCCTAGGTGTTTGTCTTGTGTTTAGCGAGTCCAGTGTTGACAACAGAAGAACCGTACGCCATGTTGTTACGAAGATTCAACAAATTCCCCGAACCCCAATGTCGCCATGAATAATTGCTTTCGAAATTTGAGCTCTGCCCGGCCTGCAAAGAGATGGCTTAATCGCCCTATTTCAGCCTTAAGATATGCCAGCACCGCCCGTTACCCATCGCCATCGGCTCATAAATGGTCACATCCTCCAAGCTCAACCACCATTGCAGACAGCGAAATCGCGAATCTTGCAAGCAAACCTCTGCATACATTGAGCTTGGCAGACTTGGTCAAGTCCGTGATATCATTCTCGATTGCTCAAAATACTAACCTATTGACCAGACATGGCCGCCCATCCTTATCAACAGAAGCCTTGTTTTCATCTGCGAATTTCACGCTCGATCTCCTTCCCATTCGCCTTGCGCACAGAATACAAGCGTTGCGAAATCTGCCATTTATTGTAGTATCAAATCCGAACATCTCAAGAATCTACAATAATTATCTCCATTCATTATCCACCCTTTTACCATACAAAACTATATCTACCTTGGAGGACGAAATAAGGTTTACGGAGGTGTTGGCAGATTTGGTAGAAACACACTCGCACACAATTCCAACTCTTGCGAGAGGTTTTCTTGAATGCCGAAAGTACATAAGTCCGTCTGAGGTGACACGTTTTCTGGATGAGCATCTTCGTGCTCGGATAGGTACTCGATTAATCGCGGAGCAACACATCGCATTACATCTCTCCTCTCAACCTCACCAAATGGGGCATTCCGAGGCGGAGCCATCATCTTATATTGGGGTTATAGATACAGCTTTAAACCCGGCGTCAATAGTTAATTCATGTGGAAATTTTGTCTCAGAAATCTGCGAACTCAAATACGGCGTCCGACCGACTTGGATTATCGATGGAGAACCGGAGACAACATTTGCATTTGTGCCCGTCCATTTAGAATACATAATCACTGAATTACTCAAAAACGCGTTCCGTGCGACTGTCGAATCTGGTAGGTCTAACGAACCAGTAGTCATAACGATAGCTGCAGAGCCAGAGCTCTCTACGATAAGTGATCCACAGAGTAAGTCTAGCCCGGGTGCATTTCTAGATGGCAACCCCCCAATCAAACCGTTTGAAGATTCCGCTCCTGGTGTTACAATTCGTATTCGAGACCGAGGAGGTGGAATCAGTCCTGAAGTGTTACCAAACGTATGGTCATATTCATTTACAACATTTTCGGAAGAAGACGAATTACCCGGGCAAGGCCATAGCAATGGGAGCATGGATGCTTTGAATGTTTTGTCAGGCGCTGGGGGTGAGAGTAGCTCGATTGCTGGACTAGGATACGGGCTACCACTTGGAAGAGCATACGCTGAATATTTTGGGGGTGGCATCGAAATCCAATCGCTCTATGGATGGGGCTGTGATGTTTATTTACGACTTAAGGGTCTCGGAAGACCAAATAAGTAAATAAAGCCAATACACGGCTTCAAAAATCTGATCCTAGGTGGCAAAACAAGTCTTTTCAAGGATAGAATCCAGCCTTGGTCGACAGAAATTATTGTTGTTGAATCACACCCAAGTGTTTTTTAAGGTGTGGTAGAAGTATAGAAGCGGAGTTTTACAGGGCTACGGAGTGCGTGGATAAGCACTCCCTGCGTTTGAACATGCGCTGGGCGCTTCATTCTCCCTTGAAAACAATATAGGGCAATGGCAACCTTTAATGAGGCTTCTAGTGCTCGTAAATCCATCTCTTTATTTTTTTTGGTATTCTTCTGCAAAGTATTTTTTTCAGTATGGAAGGGCTTTCCAGTGCTTCAGCTGCCTTCGCTGTTATATCCCTCGCCGTCCATTTAGCCGAAAGTGTCAATAAGCTAGTTGAGTTCTGGCAGGCTATTGAGGATGCACCAGCAGATATTTGTGACCTCTTCAACGATTTGAAGCTTTTGTCGGCGGCCCTAATACAAAATGGGAAAAAGTTTGCTCAGCATAGTCCCTATGATCCGATTGCCGAGAGGACCTTAAGCAAATGTCAAAAGAGAGTTCACGATGGCCGCATTTACCTCATTTTCGTCTCGCAAAAGGAAGTGCGCTGCTCTGAAATTTACTTTGAAAAATGAAGAAATCAGAAAGATGCGTGCGTCGGTAGGAGAATCTTTGGTGGCCGTGTAGATGATCAAGTAAGATGCTATTTTGTGAGCTATCCATCCATCATCCTTCAAAAGGAGAGACAAGCAGGGCTATTGAATGTTCAATGAAAAGACTCTCTAAACGAACCTACCACGCCTATTAAGCAAAGAAATTTTCTGATCTCAATGGTGATATTGTGGAAATGGCTCTTCGACATCAAGAAGCTACCTCGAAGGGCATGAGCGCAATTTAGGAGTTTGTAGTACAATACTCGCAAAGCCGCGGGCATATGGATAGGTCCACGTCGTTTCTCCTCTCATATGATACGTTTATACTCTCAGCGGGTGGGAATACTTCAGATGTAGGCGTACCATATTTATATCAAGGCAATAAAATTCATGTCTGTTCCTAGACTACCGACACCGTGGTCTTGCGGAACAATCTATCTGCGCCGTCAGGAGGAGTCTCAGCCAATAATTCCAAGGAACAAATCACTGCTCAAAGGGTTTCTAAAATGCAGTCGTGGGAGGCTGACGGCTAGACACCTATCTTCTCATTTCGAGTCAGGTCCTCGTCGACGAAAAGAACAAGTAGACATGTGTTGGGTTCTCGGGAGACTGTCGAGACAAAAGTTGGCGTAGTCTTCTATCCAGCCAAATGGTTACATCGCCTTGGTGTAAGTGTGGGAATTTGCATGTCAGCAACCGTTGATAATGGTTGGATGTTCACATTTAGTTCCTTTGGTGCTGGTCCCGAGGATGCATTGATTTTCGACCTTTGTCGACAAGGTAATGTCGCCGGTGTCAAGATACTCCTGGATCGTGGCGATGCATCTCTAGAATGTGAGAATCCGCTGGGCAAAACGCCATTATGGGTAGGCCAACTTCGTACAAATTCTTGTAATTGATTACTCACACGTTGCAGATCGCGGTTAATTATGGCCAAGTAGATGTGGCGAGATTTTTGATATCCGCTGGAGCCAAAGATACAGCTACTGGTATCAACCTATGGCGAAACCCTCTTGTACTTGACGCTCGGTTGAAAATTGCCATGGTTGAGACGTTAGAATTTTACTCAAAATCCAAAAACGATGATAGTAAATACGGTACCATTGGCAGGATGGCGATGTTCTACACTCCAAGCAAACAGCTCAATATGACTCAAGAGGAACTCTCCGACAACATGTTATGTGTATTTGAAGCTTTAACTCCATCTCTACGCACTGATAACGCAGCTCAGGCGAAGTACCTTCGAGGAATGGTATCAGATGGTCATGCAGGAAAGCTCATACATTGGTTGATAGGTAGAATCAAGGGAGCTCTCGAAATAGAGGAAGACAGCATCAGTTCCTACTCTTTACTTCACTATGTAATTGGGGCCCGGTTCCTTCATAGAGATCAGCTATCTGTGAAAATGATTATGGAGAGGACAACAAACTTACAGATTTGCTATGGTTACGGGTCTTGGGGCCTATACGAACTACAGACCTTAACAGTTCTTGCTATGTATGACTAAGACATGTCATTCTATGGCGGAGGCTTCTTCAAGAAACAAAACAAGACATGAATGCGTTTATCGAGCGGGAGCTCGATGCTAAACTGTTGCCCTCTATGGGTTGGACAAAGGCAACACAACACACCCATTTACAAGGGAAGGAGAGCCCTCACAATGGGTTTCCTGAATGTGACAGGTGCAAACATCTCAGTGTCTCAGTTGGTATGTATCGCGTTAAGATCGATCTTGAATTCAGATGACAACTTCGAGAGATTAGGACTGGTCGTGCTCAAATGCTCCATTGTATGCAAGACCTGAGAAGGATGGCTCGACCCCGGCCGTAATTGTTGACAAAAGTGGAAATTCGACACCAAACATTCAACGGAAGACGTGGCTACCATTACCTTATCGCTTTGTATGTTCTGATAAATGCAAAGATGGCATTTCTGTTCACGATGCATTCGAAAATGATTCAGAAGACTTATCAGCGTTTCCGATATATGTTTCTGAGGAGGAAAGACTGCGTCTGGAGCATTTACGCTCAGAAGAGGAGGAGGCAAAGTGTCCTACTCATACGATGCCAGGGGCTTTTACTTCATAATGCTCTTTAATGTTCTCTCCAGATAAATCTCATGAATGATTCTTCAAAGCTTCCCAATTGCTTTTCCATATCCCAATCCAAATCAAAAATTAGATTGTTTCCGTGATCAATACTTTCCGAAATCCCTATCTATATCGACCTCGAAATCATCTCTTGTACTTTGAAGTTCAACTTCTTGTTTTGATGATTAATCGATTATTTCGGTTCTGCGTTTAAATCGGTTGACGTGGTAGGCGCGTAATCTCCAGGAGGCCTGTGGATCTATTGTGTCGGCAACCCTGTCATGCATCTTCGCTTCTGCATCCTACCACATCGAATAAAATGATTCGACGTCAGCAAAGGATGCGCGTTTCAGCTGCATAAGGAGGGCGAATTTTGAATTTAATCCTTTGTCAGGCTATGGAGGCAGTGCCGGGTATAAAATGTGTGTGTCTTATATAAGGTTTCTCGCACAATCGTCTTATCTGACTATAGGTCATTATTCCCGCTACTTTTAGCAACATCATTCGTCATAGATAGTCTTTCTAGTGCTTCCGCGGTGTTTGCTGTTGTATCTGTTGCTGTCCAGCTTGCAGAGACTATTCATAAGCTAGTCGACTTTTGGAAAGCGGTCGAAGATGCTCCAGATAACATTGCGAATATCTTTCGAGAACTTGGACTTCTCTCCAAGATCTTGACACAAAGCCACGAACTAGCGCAACTCCACTTGTTTTCTGATATATTCGACGAAGCCCTGAAAGATTGTTGCTCCAAGATTCTCAAACTTCATTCCAAAGTGGAAGACACGAGACGGAGCCTCAGTTCTTCAAAACTACGAAAGCGAAAATGGGCTGCTTGGAAGATTGTGTTGCAGAAGTCTGAAATAGATTCTTTACAAAAGTCTATCTCGGAAGCGAAAACAAACATACTACACATTCAAGTCAATAATCTTTTGTAAGAATTTAAAATAGACGTATGTCGATGGATGCTAACTTGAGAATTGGTAGAGCGCGGGCATCCTCAATATCTAACGTATACCAAGTTTTTCAACAGAGCTCTGAATTGAGCGCTCAAACATTTGGAAGGATGCAAATAACGAAACAGCAGCTAGCAAAGATTTCAACAGAAAATCAGAATCCGTCGAGTCTGTCGGCCAGATGCCATGAGGAAAAGCTAGCGCACTTCCGCCCTGACTTGATAGGACAAACATTAATTCGGCAAGATGATGATAAACAATTCAATCAGCCACCACTCGAATGTGCGGTCGCGGTATCGCCCAAACCAAGAGCGATCGGTTCACGAAAGCGCAACGTCTATGTTTACAGGAGACGTCAGATTACTAGTCCATTCTCGAATTTCTGGAAAGAATCTATTAAAACTACGGAGGAAGTCGTCCACGCATCTGGGGTCAAAGAAACCGTGGAAGAAGAATCTCAACTGATCATATACCCTTCAAAGTGGCTTGCTAAACTTGGTGTTGGATATGGCATCGAGTTGTATATTCTAGCATCAAGAGGATGGCGATACTCTTTCCAGCCCTTTCGCGCAGTTCCTGAGAGCTCTTTAATCTTTCAATTTTGCCGTGAAGGTAATCTTGGTGGCGTCAGAACGCTACTCAGTAGAGGAGACGCTTCTCCTTATGATAGGGATCCATTGGGTCGGACTCCATTATGGGTAGTACTCTCGTTTGGTACATTTTTGAACAAGTATTGACGTACAATATCCAGTATGCCGCTCTCCATCATCAAATGGATATATCCATGTTACTGCTCTCGGAGGGTGCAGATGTACAGGTAGGGGAATGGACAAAGCGAACGTAAGATTGTTTTTAGTTTTTCTACAAGTCCCGATTTTAGGCCGATGATCAGGTCTTGAGCGTTGCATCAATTTGCGATATTCGAATTTTTTGGATTTTTGAATGCACTTGAGATATTCTTTTTTTCTGAAGTGCTCACGCAGCTTGGAATATCTATTTGATCTGGAACGCAGTTTCTGTGCCATTCAACCATTTTTGGAGGTTCGAAAAAGTCGACACACAATTTATTGAACTCAATTGAGGTATGAGCAAACGTTGTGCTAATATTAAGTGCACTAGGAAACCCATTGGTGCTCTCTATCTTGGTGAATGCAATGATGTAAAATTGAGAATTGCAATGGCCGATCTTCTGGGACGTTATGATACAGAAGACGAGGAATTCAAGTACTGTATAATTCAGAGGTTTCTACTTTTCTTTCGACATGGAAAAAAGTTGGGTCTTTCCTACACCGAAAGAAATGAGGCGGCACTTTCTATTGTCCAGCAGATAGGCTTTCTCTACCTCCGAACCCCCGCCGACCTTTGCGGGTTTCTTTGGAGCTACATGTTGCCCTTCCTTTACGATGGCCCAGTACTACAGTGGGTTCTGCACAGTGTACCAGGCAAAATACATAACACAGAGCAAAGACCGATACTGCATGATGCTTTAAAAAAAGGCCTACTGTTGCGGGATCCTTTAGGGACGAAGACCCTTGTTGAAAAAACCACGACGGCAGATCTACATCTTTGTTTTGAAGGTCTATCCAATTATCCTTCAACTTTGGGAGAAACGCCGACTATGCTAGCAATGTACAGTGGGAGGGGGTTCTTGGTCTGGCGTACTGTTTTGAGAGATCTAGAGTTTGATATATCAGACTTCGTCACTCGAGAGCTAGCAGCGATGAAATCACAGTATGATGGATGGACCCAAGATACGCTCATGGAATTATTTGAGAAAGATCCACCTGTTTCCCCCCTTCCCGAACAAGATAGCCAAGCTGTACCCGGTATCCATCACTGTGATAGATGTCAACGACCTATGACTATAGGCAATATACATCAAAAAGTTGATCTTGAATGGAGGCGCACACTCCGATCAATTAGAACGGGAAAAAAGAACGTGGCAATCGTCGATTATAATTCGTCACCGGCAGGAGAAATCGGCTCTACTATCATCGATCGCACTGATAAGAATACTACGGAAACAAGTTTCGGTGAGTCTCCCCCAGAATGTCAGACATCCAGAACCAGATACTATGTTTGGCTTCAGTCTTTGCATACCTATTTTCTTATGCAAAAATCGAAGTTTTGAGGTGGCCTGAGCATTTGAGTCGAGTTGATCTCAACGTTTAGATCGACTCGAATGATCGAGCTTGATTCAGTATCCTCAATTCGTTTCGATGTTCTTGTCAATTCAGATACTTTCAACTTGACGTGGATGGACATAGAACTTCATACTGATACCGAAACTATAGACCTCCTGCCCTATCGTTTGGTATGTCCCCATGATTGTGAAGACGGAGTTTGTGTGGCATGGGAATATGAGGGTTTTAAGCCCCCAAATTTCCCACCGTACATCCCAAAAGAGGAAAGGGAACGTCTCAAACAATTACGCTTAGCCGAGGAGGAAGCGAAATGCCCTACTTACACTATGCCTGGGGCTTTTAGTGTTCAATAATATGAACTGCAGTCCGCCTAGGGATTGCGAGATTGCGAATCTCTTTTTAATTCGAAACTCGTTGAAAAGAGATTGTTATTCAAATCTTCAAAGAGAATGTGGATGCTAACTCATATACTTGGCCAATGCCAAAGTACTTACCTGAGGAGGCTCATAATAGTCATCACTAGTAGGGCCGCGAATGCAAATTGCCATACATATTGATATCGTGGGGTTGACGTCCTCCTCCAGATCGTTTGAAAAGGGCAGCATTTACGGTATTGCGACATGGAGAAGCTGCTTCTTATTATTTTTTAACAACTTTACGGTTAATTAATCGTGTTGAAAAGTCGACGTGAGATATATGGTCGGGGTCGAGGAGGTCGAGGTAAGATTACATCTAGTTTATAGATAGCTTCATTTAATTCGAGAGATGTATATAGATATAAGAATGTATTGAAAGGTTAGTTGGAAGCTACAATGGGCATTTGAAGAACAGTCTTGAAATGTCTGATTTTTATGCTTGACTCTAGAGACCTTAGGTGTCACTTGTAACATGTTTGTGAATGTACACACAGATATGTCAAAATTTGCAGCTATTCAAGCAAGAAGCAAGATAATACATTAGTGCATGGCATCTCAAAACATCGCATGAGTTGACGAATGATCTAAATGAGAATTGCAAGACCACAAGTATTGGTATTTTTCACAGATTTGAACTCCGAACATACATTTCTCAATGATCACCCCGTTTCAACCAAGGGTTACAGGCTGTATGTAACTTTCCCAAAGAGTCCTCCATTTCTACCAACCGCGCGAAGATTTTTGCATCAATCCTGTTGATCATTTGAAGAGTAGCAACGATAAAGAAATCCGCATACGTAGCTATCACATTATCTTTGTTAGCTTCTCTTTATAAATCCAGTTTTCCAATTTCAACTTACGTGTCTCTCCCTCAATAAATGGACCACCCTTAGCTTTTAGCAATT